ATAGGTGAAGGATGATGATGATGATGATGATGTGAGGGCACATACCTTGTATTGGCGATGGTCTGCATGGGCGACATCTTCAAGTACTTCAGGCTGCCGCTGATGTCAACACTTGCATTGTCATTTCGTAGTCTGTAGTAGCTGTGTAGGAGTAGGCTGGGCGCTGAGCGCCAAGTGAGAGTGTGAAGGGACTGGACTCTTGTGTTGAGAGGAGAGTATGCTCTCCATGAACATTGGTTTTCAGTGCTACGAACCTCCATTGGTGTATTCTTGGTGCAATGCTGCTCTCTGGACACGGTGTGACTATCTGGCTTTCAATGTGATGGTGTGATGTAGAATTGTCATCTCGCTGTTGCTTATTTCCCTTGCACGCAGATGATTTGTAATATAATAATAATATAGTACTAAATAGGGATAATTTCCAAAGTACGCCTGCAAGTTGATATATATGCCAAAATGCACCTAAAAGATTTGAATAGAGTAGAATCTGCAATTACTCGGCTCAAATCTGCAAAGCTGTGGCCCTTAGGTCGTCACTTTTGGTCAAAGGCCCGACACAGGGGTCAAAAGTCACTCCCTCAGTCTAAGAAAGGCCTGGCCATAGGCCTAAGGCCAAGGGGTACCCAGGGGAGGGCCAAAACCAGCGTTCAGAGGCCCTACGAGGAACAGTTGACTTTGAGAAAGTCAACGGTCAACCCCAGCACGGGAATCCAGGCCCAAAGGTCAAAGTCAACCCGCTGGTCAGCCATTACCGTAGATCAGATGCACGTCATTGGTTGTCTGCAGGTATCCAGAAGAATCCGGTCCAAGTGGGACACGTGGAAAATCTGCTGCACGGTGGAAAATCTGCAGCTGTGCAGGATCCAGGCCATTGGCTTCCGATTGATCTGGGCCGTCAACTTCAGGAGACCAGAGGCTGGCCAAAGTGCGTCAACCCTATAAGTTGACCCAGCCCCTACTTGGAGGGCATTCGGCCTTGTGCATTCTGCCTTGCATTCGCCTGTTGCTGGTGTGACGACGCAAGGCTGCTGAAGCTTTATGCTGGCACCAGATTTTGAGTGTGGGCGGCAGCCTTGAGGGAGATTATGCTGACGTGGCCATAGCCACATTGATTTCGACATTGACAGGAATGTGGGCGAGGAGGAGGAGGATCTGGACTGTGAGATTGGTGCGTCTGATGAGGGGAAGCTTACCTGGACTTGCCCCTTGTTTAATTGAATTTCTTATTAATTTCATTAGCTATAGCACTCGTCACTCGACTCGGGCCTTTTCTTTAGTGTCCAATTCTATATGGATTAATAGTATAATATCATACATAATGAAATTAGCAACCAAGAGTAGACATAGAGAGTTACCATCAGATAATAATAGAATAGATCCATCCTAGACTTTCGCCCCCACAAATGTATGCCTGTGACGTCGTGTGTGCTTTGCTGTTCGTCTCCAAGAGGAAGATCTGTGCCATCCTCCTCGACTGCTGCTGACGGGATGGAGGGAGGATGGGCGCCCTGTCGTGACCTGTTCGTTGTATATGTCAGCAATCGTCAGAGGAGAACTGTATCGCTGACTTAGCGAGTGAGGGAGATGCCCGGGGAGGAAGTGGGCTTGAGGAGGGACTTCCGCTTGGCTGATTCTTGAAAAAATTCTCCTCTTCCTCCTCTGTCTTTTCTCCCCCTCTCCTCACTCTCTTCTCTGAGGTTCGAGACATTGGGAGATAGCATGTACTTTGAGCATGGCTACATAAACGGTTTTTGGAGACATTATTGCTGCGCCGAGTCAGACCTGTATCACGACTCTCAAGAGCTTCTCATCTGTCTAGGTTCATTGCAAACGCCCCTCTGGAAAGAAAAATCTTTTGTGAAATACCCCTGGCTCGCTTGCACATCGGGAAACAACGCACTGAAAATCTTCTATCCAACGACAACGCAGAGGCTCGCTTGCACTCGGACAGTGTGTGTGTGTGTGTGTGTGTGTGTGCGTGTGCGTGTGTGTGTGTGTGCGTGTGTGTGTGTGTGTGTGGAGAGAGAGAGAGAGAGAGAGAGAGAGAGAGAGAGAGAGAGAGAGTCATTGCAGGGCAGGATTTGGGTCGCTCTACCTGCCACACAAACTCTATTCTACCCTACCCGTTGCTAGGGGGACCTCCCTCCTGGTGGTAGCTTTACAAAGGTTTTTCCTTTTCTTTTTTTTTGTTCGAGCTCTTTGAAAATTCACAGATGAGATGTGTACCCAAAAGAGGGGGGGGGGGGGGACGAAAAAGAGAGGAAAATAAACGATGTGATAGGAGAAGATTGGAGAATATGATCCTGCTGGGGTACGTCGAGTAACTTAAGCCGGAAGCAAACCTGCTGACTCGTTTCCTTTTCTTTTCCCCTACTTTTTGGGGGATGGATGTTGTGGTTCTGATGAGCGCTCTCGCTCCGCAGAATGGTCGAGCCGAAAAAGGAAAAACTTCACCAGGCGGAGCAGGAGTACGCTGCCGTGATGAGCACCTTGAGTCAGAAGCAAGACAGACTCAAAGCTGTCGAAAGTCACTTGAACCTATTAAACGAAACCTTGAGATACATGCAGCAGCAGAAGGAGAACTTGGAGCAGCAGGTGACCTTTTATTATTATTACTGTTGTTGTTGCTGTTGTTGTCATTGTTATTATTATTGTTACTGTGTTATTTTTGTTATTAATAAAAGCGGATAGACCGTGAACTTATGATTCTTGTGCTCATCATCGTCATCATCATCGTTGTCATTATCATTATTGGAAATAACGATCACCTGTTTACCCAAACAGGTGCATGTTAGTGGTAGCACTCTACAAGTTTGTACCCGTTCAGCCAAATGGGCCAGGTGCAGGTGTGTGGCCCTTTGTTTTTTGCAAATTCAGATATATAGTGTGTTATATAATAAGCTACTTGTTCCCCACAACTCGTTAATTTCTATATACATGAGAACAAGTTACGAAAACTAAGGTATTACCGTATTAGTCCAAAAAAAAAATAAAAAAATTTAGGAAAACTAACCATTCACAATTTCACAATGGACACGAAACAACCATTCACAATTTCACAATGGCCACGAAACAAGGTGTGTGCATGATCAGAAATCTGGGAAGTTTCTCCTTTGTTGCCTTTTAATTTTTAACTTTCATTTTGTGAAGAAGAAACTATATATTATTATTACAACTCTCTCTCTCTCTCTCTCGCGCGCACACACACACACACACATTGATATATCATTATTACTACATCGTGTTTCTTCTTTTCGTTCGGTGAATAACATTGTTTTTGGTCTTCATTTGGTGAGCATCATAAATAAGTCACTAGTCATATAAGTTTTTGGTCTTCATTTGGTGAGCATCATAAATGAATCACTAGTCATTTAATTTCGATTTCAATTTAAACCGCATTGCCATCGCTCGACCCAGAAAATCTTCCTGACCTCTGTTTTTTACTTCTTCTTTTGCTTTCATAAAAGAAGAAAACATAATTTAACAGTTGGCCCACCCGTGGTTTCGTCGCTCCAGGTGGCGTCCTGTACGAAAAAATTAACAGTGGCACAGCGATTGCTGGCTGGGCTCGGAGATGAGAAGATCCGATGGCGCGCCGCCGCGGCCGAGTTGAAGGACAAGCTGGATCATTTGGCGGGAGATTTGATGCTGAGCGCGGGAATAATCGCGTACCTAGGTCCGCTCACTCTGCCGTATCGGTCGGCGTGCGTGGACACTTGGCGCGCGGACTGCGCCGAGAGAGGCGTGATCTGTTCCTCCTCCTTCTCCTTGTCCTCTGTCCTCTCCAACCACTTCCAGCATCGTGATTGGGCGAAGCAGGGGCTGCCTAGAGATGGCATCAGCGTGGACAACGCCATAGCCATCGCTCACAGCCGTCGATTTCCGCTGATGATCGACCCGCAGGGGCAGGCCAGCGCGTGGGTCAAACGGATGGAGAAGGACCACAACCTTGTCGTCTTGCGGCCGTCAGATGCAACGTACATGAGATCGCTAGAGACCTGCGTACAGTTCGGGAGACCGGTCTTGCTGGAGAACGTCGGCGAGGACGTCGACCCGGGGATCGAACCATTGCTCTTGCGACAGACATACTGGGAGAACGGCGCTCTCTGCATCCACCTCGGCGACAGTTCCATCCCCTTTTCCACGTCATTCCGGCTTTTCATTACCACAAGGTTGCGGAATCCTCACATATCGCCCGAGCTCAGCACAAAGGTAATCAATCCATCCATCCATCAATCAGTCAATCAATAGATCGATCAATGAATCAATAGATCAATCAATCAAGTAATCGATCAATCAGTAGATCTATCAATCGATCAATAGAGCAATCAATTAATCAATCAATATATTTGTTAATTAACTAATAGAACAATCAATCAATCAATCCAGTAATCGATCAATCAATCAATCAAGTAATCGATCAATCAATCAATCAATCATCGATATACCCCCTTTTTTTATTTTCTCGTTGAGGGTTGCCGGCGTTCGGGACGGGCCGAACGCCCGAACGCGAACGCCCGACCGTTCGGCACCCCCTCCCGAACGCGGACCCCCCCCCAAAAAAAAAAAAAAAAAAAAAAGATTATTCCCAAAAAATGTGAAAAAATATATGTTATGCAGAAGAATCAACTAGACAATATTTGCCTCAACGTTGCATCCAAATTCTTTACCAAATTTGAAATAAAAACAGATACTAAAAATAAATAATAATAATAAAAATACTCCTTTGACCAGGTAAGTTGGGACCAAGGCGAAGCGATTTGGACAAACAAAAATTCAATTGGACAATCGTCAAACCAAATTGGTCAGTTCGATTTTCCTATTTAGTACATGATCGGAACCAATTTGGACAGCCGATATAGGTTGGGATAAGTGATGAGCATTTTGGACATATCAGATTTAGGTTGGGAGAAACGATGGGCATTTTGGACATACTGGATATAGGTTGGGATAGATGACCACCATTTTGGACAGAATGATTTAACAGTTTGGACGCCTGACAGAGTTAGGCAGATTGATTTAACAAATTAGTATTGCCAATACCACATTTAGTTCAACACTCGACCGATTTGAGATTCTGCGTACACCATCGGGACCAACAAAGATATCAATTTAGAGGAATCGATTTTGCATGTTAGACACATGCGTCTGAATCACGGGCCTGCTACTCCCGTAAACTGTCGACCTAGAACTTCGCCTCGATTAGCTTTGCCGAAGTTTCGTGTCACCTCTCTAATCCATCCTTTGCACATCCACCTAGGCAAGAGGCAGGTACAACCGCATTGACGATGTTCAGAGGCGAAAGATCATCGAGAGTGCATGCACGTGGGTTCTCTTGTGCAATCAGATCATCGAACCCACGGGCACGTGAACGGCATCTCAGGCAGGTGAACCGCATCTCAGGCACGTGAACGCACAAGGCCAGTGGGTCGATGCTCGGCGGAAGTGAATGCAGGTTGATGGATGCACGCAGCACACGCGAGAGTGGATGCACGCAGCACACACGAGAGTGGATGCACGCAGCACATGCGAGAGTGCATGCACGTGGGTAGCCGTACCTAGGTGGATGTGCGCAGGACACACGTGAAGACTTTCTGTGGGCCCCACCAATTTATGCGCTCATCAGATTAAATCGTTCGGTCCTTTGACGAAGGGCACAGTGGGTCTGTCCAAGTTTCTAGAATACCTGTCCATATCGGTTCACAAGATGTCCTATTCTGAACTACCGGTCGAAGAAGCTTCTACAAGAATCTAAAACGCTTGGACTACATGTCGGATTCCAATCTACCGGTCGAAGAAGCTTCTACGAAATTCCAAATCGGTTTGCCGTTTGTCTAACTTCGATGCGTTCACCTAATTTGATAAAAAAAAACATCCAATTCCAATCTGCCGGTCCAAGAAGCTTCTTCCAAATTCCAATTTGGTTCGCCGTTGCTCTAACTTCGACGCATTCACCTAATGTGATAAAAAAAAAATCCAATACGGTATTGTTTTTGGCGAGAACTTGGTAGGGCCTGCCCATTTCGGTTCACGATATGTCCAAATAGCGGCGGTATGCATCTAACTTACCTTGTCAAAGGAGTAATGAAAATTAGAAAAAATAAAACGAGAATGAAATTATTGAGTGGGCGAGCACCTTTTTGACACCGCCATCTTTGGCGATTTTTCAGCTGTGACAAATGCCATGAAAATTTATTTATGTGTATCTTACATAATAGAGAATCTACAAATAAAGTTTGAAAAAATAATATTTTTTTCCATGCACCGAAATAAAGGAAAAACAAAAAGTGAAAAGAGAAAAAACAAATTAGTGAGTGGGCAAGCAAGTTTTGACACCACCATCTTTGCCGATTTTTCATTTTTTTTGGCTGAAGAGAATGGCTTCCAAATACCTTACATCACAAAGAACTCCCCCCAAAAAAATCAGAATGTCAAAATATTTTTTTGTGGGGTCCGAACCCCTTCAGGTTTGGACCCCGAACGGGGACCCAAACGCCCGAACGTTCGGGGGTCAGCTTAGTGGCCTCCGTGCGTTCGGCCTGGCAATCCTGTTCACGTTTCTTTGTTTCCGTGCTTTTTGTACCATCCATGCCATGCATGCTTGTACGTCACCTTCTTTTCTTCTTTTTCGTTTTTTAATGGATGCCACATTTTTTAAAACTGCGGACTGTTGCCAGTAAGTACGTCATATCCTCATCCACCCACTCACTCACTCACTCACTGACTCGTTGTGGAAAAAAGGGAAGGAGGGGGACACCCTACCAGGATCATCACAGAAGACGAATAACTGGCACAAGTTCCCTCCTAGTTTGTGTGTATAGTTGACAAGAAAAAAAAGCGAACTGGTGCAAGATGCTTCATCTCGTTTGTACGAATAATTAAAAAAACAAATAAAGAAAGCGAGACGGCCTTTGAGATATCTTCATCGATAAAATACTGACTGCCCCTTTGGTAACTTTCATCTGCTTCATGTGAGAGGTCGAACTCAGGTCTTTATTTCAACAGTTCTGTTCAGGGGTGTTTGTACCAACTGAGCTAGGCCAATTGATAGGAGCTTATCTACTGGCCCACCACAGATAATGAATGCGCGAACGAACGAAGATGAGAGGCGGGAAAGGGGCAAAATCTCCTGATCTGTGCAAGCAAGAAGGGCTAACCCCCCCCCTCCCCATCACACATGTACACACCAAAAAAAAACAAGGGAGCTGGGCCTGATTGATCTGTGCAATCAAGTGGGGCTTAGCCCTCCCCTCGCCCTCAAAAAATAAAAAGGGAGCTCGGCACTGGGTGTCGAGATGAGAAAACCACCGATTGGTAAGTTCAATCAGTCAACACGGACTCCGACTCCGACTCCGACTCCGACTCGAGGACAAAACCCACACGGAAGTAAGGACGAGGAAGGGACCCAAATTCACACTGCAATCAGATTCGTTTTCAAACACACTTTTCACACATGTATACAGTAACGCAGCACACTGGCGACATGCGCCCACTCAAAACTCAGAGATATGGCTTCAGATACGAGTTCACTCTCAAATGGCTATGGCGACTTCAGCGCCCAAACATCTC